AATATATTAAATATTAATATATTAATATTTAATGTGACTAGATATACTTAATGTGACCAGATATTTTTAGATCTAAACTAGGACTTTCTTAAGTGGGATTGAAGAGGAGGTAGATATGGATATAAAGATAAGTATAATAATAGTAATTTATTTTTTAAAAATAATACAATTACTATTTTATATTTAATCTCATTCTAAATTATTTGCTTTAATAAGTCAGGTTAAGTACTTAAGAAATATATAAAATTCTTGGCAAATGAAATTAAAATTAATTTTTGTTATTAATATTAGTTTAGAATACAAACTCAAAGTTCACTTTTTTCTGCTGTCCATACTTCGTTCATTGCAGAGAAAATTCATTCAACTGCTGCTTATTTCCTGGAAGCGATAATACATATTCTATGATTCTATAATTTGTTCTGTGATTCTATAATTTGGCAAAATGTAAATATTTTTCAGTGAGACTTTTTCGCTACTTTTCGTTAAATGGAACAGTGGGACTATCTTGTCGAAATCGGAACGTCTGGTCACATTACATATATTAATTGAATTACCTATAAGCGTTTTGACAATCATTCCCTATATGATAAATAGCTCCAATCTCTTGTATACTAATCCTATCTTTTGTTTTACTCTGTTATTTCATATTTAAATTGAAAAGTTAATAGATCTTAATATAAAATTTTAACTTCAAATTTAATTTCAAATTTAATTCATATTTTAATCATATACTTGTCAAATTATTACAATTAAGTTTTAATTAAAAAAAATCTTCCACTTACGGCAAATGTTAGTTCCCTTCAAAAACGGCTCAGATCCAATTAGTTGATTGCCAGCTTCATCCACGCACCAGCAAGTATCACCAGCGCATTGTGTAGGCTCAAATCTACCCTGTGGATCGCATATCGTAGGCACGTGACCTTTGTTCTTCATCGCCTGACATCTAGTCCCGAGAATCTTTCCTGTTTGTCGTTCGTCCGTTTCCAAGTTCAGCAGAGCGTCCTCCATAATCGCTTGAATCTCACGGTCTATCTCCTGCGACTCTGGTCTTCTGCCGCCGCGTCTTGCTTGCCGGAAGTTACACTTTGGCTCGGCGGTTCGAGTGAGCGAACCCTTAATTGGCTGGCCCTTACGATTCACGCACCAGCAGACACCAACGTGCTCCAGACACTGCACCGGTTCCCACGTTCCACTATCAGGATTGCACTTGGGCAGGAAAGTGGGCTGCTTGAGTCGTTGCGACCGCTTCAGATTCTTCTCGCGCAACCTCTCGCACTGCGACAATACAGGACATACTGTATCGCACACCAGTCGACTGGAGAAGTCGTTGTGGCCGACGGTGCACTCGTTTTTGCGCCGGCATTCATTGCGCTCCGGATCAAAGAACCATCTCTCGGTCTCATTGAAGCCAACGCTCGGATTGCATGGTATTCTTCGGGGTGGCTCGAAGCAGATCTCACGCGGTTTCGGACAGCACACTGCGTATTCGTCCAATGGCGACAGCTCGCATTTGTGCGTCGAAGGGCAATGATGACCATGTGGTCCACAAGTGGCGATCGAGCCGTTTTGCTCGAGCAACGGCGAACTATTCGGGCACGGGTTGTCCTTCTTCGGTAAGCAGACTGGTACCGGGGGACACGGTGGTGCACTACACGCGACCTCTACCATCCGGCACGCCTCGTTCTCGCCGCGGCAAGTTACGCTGCGACACGGGTCGCGGCATGAGCACGTCGGGCAACCTGTGTCTGCGTTCAGTTCAAATCCATCCGGACAGTCGAGCTTGCAATCGATTTCTGGGCATCTCAAGGGTGTGTTACAACGCGGCACGATTCCTTCGAGGACCCGAGTACCCGCCGCTTCCTTGCCTTCTTCATCTACGCACCAACACAAACCGTTGTGGCATTGCACTGGCTCAAACGCGCCGTTGGAGTCACACCTGGGTATATAAGTCCTTCTCGCGGGCTCGCCTGATTCTCTGGCAGCATGCTCGGCGACCGCGCGAGCATGCTGGCAAGCCGTGGCCATGACCGGCGCCACGCATTGCGTACCGCAACCGGTCGAGCAACATTTATCGCCGGATGAGCACTCCTGATCATTGCTGCACTGCAGCTCGCAGCTCGATGAGCTCGGCACGAGGTACGGGCACTGGCCCGGTTTCGTCGTAAGACATGCCGGCACCGCTGGACAGTATTCGTTCGGGCCACAGTTGACGTCAATCATCGTGCAGGTCTCATGCGAATCGCAGGTGACATCGCGGCATGGCTCATGACAACGACACTGCTCACAACCAGTTGCGTCCACTTCGTAGCCGTACGGACAGATCAGATTGCAGTACAAACGCTTACAAATCTGTGTGAGTTCCCTGATGGCTTCACAGTCCATTGAAGCGACTGAATCCAGGCCGGACTTTAAGATCACTCCGCGATGGTTCACGCATTTACAGCTGGTACTGTTGTAACATTGCAAAGACTTGTAATCACCATCCTCCTCGCACTGAGGTGCTGGGATTGCCAGGGACATTCCTTCCCTCGTACCCTCCATACGATCGTTAAAATCTCGCAAATACTCGCACACTAAAAATGATTTCTTGTGAAATTCATGGAGAAAAACTTGACATTTTCATGATTCTAATTTCTTTCTTCTTTCAATCCAACTTATCGTTATTCTCACTTATTGTTATTAATGATTAAATATTATTTATAATAATAACCCAGTAAGCAAGGAACATTTCAATATTGTAACGTTGCTGCAATGTCAAAATGTAATGTTAAAATGTTCCAAAATGTTTCTTGCTTGTAGGGAATGGAATTAACTTTATTCCTGATTATTTATTATATAATTATTACTTGTGGGTGCCTTTGCAGAGTTGGATGTTTCCATACAGCACACCGATTGATCGGCTTCCTGTACCATCGTGCATTTGTAACTGTCAGGGCAAGTTTCGTTTGTAGAACAAGTTGCGGCATTTCCATCTTGATCGATCAGCGGTGCACCGACAGTACAAGGACTCTTATAGGTCTTTCTGGGTTTACATTCCGGTTTTGTAGGACATAGAAAATCGGGACAGCTATTCTCCTGCTTTAAAATACATTCTTGCCCTTCAGGGCACGGAAATCTATAAAAATAAGCTTGATTAATCAAGTGAAAAGATAATATCGACACTGGATATTCGTATATAAAATCAATATAATTATACAATATAATTATGATGAATAAAAAATATCAAATAAACAATTTATAATTTATTAGCTTTGGCTCACAAATAAAATATTAATTATTACTGTGGTGATGATGCTTACCCTTCGCATGGATCATCACATTCGCAAGTCGAGCAACCGGAAGCGTCCGTTTTAAAGCCGTATTGGCAAACTTGGGCGCATTGTTGAGACGTGCAAGATGCCGGAAGCGAACGTGCTTTGCTTATCGATCTACAATCAATCTTTTCGGCGGGCCCCATAGAGCCGGATATTTTTCTACCGTCACCGTCTACGCACCAGCAGACGAGGCCATTTCTTGAGCATTGTCTCGATTGGAAACTTCCATCTGTATAATTATTTTGTATTTTAGAAGTTTTATTCGACCAAAACCAAATCGATCGATAGGAATATTTGATGGCCTATTCCTCACCTTCCATGCACTGCGGAATGTAACCGCGACCCTGACGCTCGGAGACACTGAGTATCTCGGCAAGCATGCGGTCGCGATGGCATGCGGTAAGATCCCCAGGTATCATGCATACGTTACCGCCGCAATTCTTGTTGTTACAGCACTTTTGAGGCCCGGGACAGTCGAGGTCATAGCGACAGGTGGGCCCGCACGAATTCATCATCGATTCCTCCGCGGGACATGTACCGGGTCGCTGTATCTTCACGCTGGCCGGACAGCAGACTCCGTATTCTTGTTTGTACTCCACCAGGCAGCTGTACATTGGCGGACAAGTTGGTTTACCTGGAGTGTCGCCGCAAAGAAACGGCCGCGGTGAATCAGTGATCTGCAAAGGTTCGCCTGCCGGACAAATTGTCGATAAGGACCTGGTCTTCCGACAGCTGGGTACTGGAGGACATGGTTCTCGAATACAATTCACAGTGATTAATTCGCATGTTTGTCCAATTCCTGGACAGGTAACGCCGCGACAGGGATCCCTGCACTCACATTTGGGACAACCGGTGACCTCATTGATCTAGAAAATGTTAGATATTTTAACAAAAGCGTTTAAATTTTTCAATGTCAGTATTGAAAAGATTTTCATATGAAAAGCATCATATTAAGATTATTTGGCACGAAACAATAAAGTATATCTAGTATAAAATTCTATTTAAAAATATATTTTATGAATTCTTTTTTTTTATATATATCTTTGAATATTTCTAACAGCCGTACTTTATTAGAAATTAAATGTCATAAATCGATCACATTCGTGAAATTGAACGATCAACAATTACGGAAAAAATGTTTAAAAGTTTAACATTTTCGAACTGTAAATAAGTGATAATTGCAGAAGTAACAAAGATGTACTTCAGTACAAAAAGAAAGTACTTATTCTTGGATATTTTCAATACTGATAATTGTAAATTGAATGCGACAAACGTAAAGTGAATTTATACTTCGAATCCCAAAGGACAGAGCATCCGACAGCTGTGAGCTGGACAACTATGAGGTTGGTCGCAGTCGACGACACTCTTGCTGGGCGCCCTGGTGCCGGGGATCTCGGCGCCGATCTCGTCGACGCACCAGCAACTGCGACTGTGCGGCTCGCATTGTATCCTCTCGAATTCGCCGGTCTCATTGTTGCATCGCGGAATGAACTGTTGGGGACCCCGAACGCCGAGGGCCCGCGATCTCCTCACAGCCGCCAACTCCAACTGCTCGCATCCAGTTAACTCGCCTGAGACGCAGCGGAGACCACACGCAGTCTTGCAGCAACGTTCCTCCGTGCCTTGACATTGGTAGTCATTCTCGCAGGCTGGTGCTCTCGATGGACACACGTTCTGTTCAACGAGGGACGGACATCGACCGGCGACTTTCAGCAATGGCTCTGTAAATTAAGCGTAAATCAGAATGAACTCTGTCTTCATATGGACGATTTTAAGATAAGAAATTAGAATAATTTTGCAATTTATAAAATATACTTTAAATGTAATTTCCTGTTTTAGTATTAGTTAGATTTTATTTATTATTTACATTTTATTAGTTACATTTAATTGATCATTGATTTTTCATTATTCATTATTATAAAAATATAAATATGGCGTTAAATATAATCTTCACCGTGATAATCTTCACCGTGATTGATATTGATGTAAACACCAACATTAATAATGAAAATAATTTAATGACTTATGATGTTAAATCTACATTCACATTTTTTTAGGATTCGATAATTAGATTTATTTCACTTTTGCTTACGTTTTGAAATGACTCAAATAATGACGTAGAGACTTTCGATATCAGCTTATCCAAGATATTTTACGATATTGGATTTTTTCTTTGAAAATAAATTTTCGATTTTCTGGGTCACAGTATCATGCCTTAGTCCGAAAAGACTTCAATATTTTCGACATGTAGAAGGCAGAACTTTTTTAATTAATATTCCGGAAATATCAGATATAAAAAGTAATGTTTTGCAAGTCAAGAATAATAGAGATTTTAGATTAGAGTCAATAAAAATTATTTAATTCTTGGTGAAAAATAAGTTAAAGAAATTTTTGATCGAAAACGGAGCGATACGAAGCGTATTACAAGCATCATATTGAACTCGAATTTAAACTGGCTTAATGAGTTACCTACATTAAAAAGCACTTTAATAATGATGAAGAAATAAGGTACTTCTTCAAATGAAAAGTCGAAGTGACGTTTTTGAACGCTCGGACTAAAAGTATAGCACAACGATAATAATAAAAATAGCTGGAGTCGATGGATAACGGTTCCTCGGCATCCTACTGCCACACTTACTATACTTATCTAACATGCTATGAGAGCGTTTCAAGAAGGCATCGTAATAGCGAATGCCTTTGAGCACTGAGAAAAGAAAAAAATAAAATAAAAAACGAACAAAGATTTATAAATAGAAAAAAAATATAGAAAGAAATATACGGAAATTCCTTTAAAAATCAGTAAAAATTGCAAGCACGAAACTAAAATAACAATCAACAAAATTTTAGTCAAGATTTAAATAGATCACTTTTAACACAAATACAAAATGCTCTTTACTATAATCGGTTATCTATTATAATAGTATCTATTATCTATTATAATAGTATTTTATATTATTTCCTTTTTAAATTATATTTTTAGCTTCAATTAAAATTTAATTATTTAAAAAATTAATATACAAAATATTGATAAGTGATAAGAATTAAAAAGAAATATAATAAATCTTTTAAATTCAAAGAATTAAACTTTCGTGCACAAATTTACGCACAATGTAAAAGAAGCTTGCTATGCGCGTTCCGTTACATGACACATATTAATACGCGGAACAGTGACGCACGTTCGTTTGACAAATGAAGAAAGTGTCTGGCTCAGATGGGCGTACACGAAAAGAAAATCCGATATTCTATTTAGGTGTCCTCTAGCGAAAGTCTCAAGTATGATGTACGTATCGCATGCATTGTACAATCGTTTATAACATGTACATTTTTAGACATATATTTTTACATTTCCGAAACAAAGTTTCATAAAAATCCAAATGAATTTTTAGATGACTTTTACCGTGCATCAATTACCCAAATTTTCATTGCTCGCGGATTTTCTCGTCTGTTGCTCCAAATAGTATCACGATATTCATAATAGAGCGTACAACAAGATTCTATTACATGCTTACACTGTTAAAAATAAAATGTTAATTTTAACTTAAAAATGAATACTGAACTTTCTAAGACATGCAAAAC